GTATTAATGCTATATAATAAGCAGTAGTTCTCTAGGATAAGTAGTTACTATTATTACAGCTAGTTACTAGCTTAGTTAGGCTAATAGGGATTAAGTTACTAGTTAAGAGGGAACTAGAACTAATTGCTATAATTACTATATTACTAGTTATTTCTATATAAACCTCTACTAAAGTTATTATAACCTTAGTTATAATTATTCTAAGTCTAATTATTATAACTGCTATATCGTTATAAGTTATTATAGCTACCTTAACTATAACTATAGTTATTATTAAAACCACTATATTGCTAAAACTAATTCAGAGGATTCTAATAGCAGTTAGTAAGCTAGAAGGGCCTATTAGCTACTTATTACTAGTTATAATTAGAAGTTAGACTAAATTAGTTCCCTTAATTAAACTAGCTTATCTTGCCTAAGTAGCTTTATTATAGATATTGCTGAGGTGCAAAGTTATAGGGACCTATAGAGGGTGCGCATCATTCTCAGGCCAGATTACAGATTGCAGATTTATGCTTGCGAATATCTCAGACAAAGGATTTAAGAGTTATAGCAGCAGATAGGGGTGGGATGATTAATTATAGGGTGCTATTAAGGGCTTTATATACCGCCTTAATATAACCTTCTTTAGTAATGCTATAAGACTTAGCGTTGCAGATTATAGATTAAATAAAGGTATAGATATCCTTATTATTATAGACATCTTGTAGACTAAAGCTTATAGATTTCTATTATCGTATTATGTCACTATAGTGAGGCTTAAATTGCTTAAGGATCTTATTGTTAATGGCGGTAATGAGCATTGCGGAGCAGGGATCAGTTAACGTCGCTAAGCACCTATGAGTACCAGATAAGTGTAGGGCCTTGGAGACATTAGGTCCAGATATCGCAGACTGCAGCCAAACCTCGCAAGTTTGTAAGATCCATAAGTTGTTCTATGAAGGAATAGACATCTATGTAGACTATGTTCTTCCTATTGTGGATCACACCTAGTCGCTCTGGATCGCAAGCTGTAAGGTTAAACATGCTAACGTCGACGGGGCGCAGGATCAGATTGCCAGGGGCGTTGCCGCTAATGCCTCCGGTGTTCGCAGCGTTGCCGTTATTGTTGTGGATCGTAGTTTCAAGTCGGGAGATGGCGGTTGCGAACAAGTCGGCCATGCTTTTGGCATTCGCACGTTCGCGGGTAGCGTTGTTATCCTCGAGACGTTGTATGGCGTTGGCGAGGAGGTTTGCGGCACCCTCAGCAGTGAGGACATCGGGGCCCGTAGGCGGATTGGGGGGGTTGCCGGCGTTGCTCATGTTGTTGGAACTGCGATGGTGGGAAGATTGGTGGGATCTGGTTCTGTGATGAAAAGGAGAGGGAGAGTTGGCACGGCCAGTCTCGACAGGAGGTAGAGTCGCGGGTTCTGTTTCGTTAGCAGGATCGAGTTGGATAGGAATTTCGTTGTCGTCGTTGAACGTAGTGAAGCGATTGCTTGACCTAGTTCTAAAGTTGATGTGGCTAATCCGGCGGGAGTCGCGGAAATGGGAACCGAGCGGGTTTGGAAGACTCGAAGTCGCGATGCTAGGCTCGCCGAAGGTCAAGTTACTCAGATCGATACCTAGATCGGTGATCGTATTGTCGTTGTGAGTAGTGATAATAGGTGAGTCGGTAGCGGGTGTAGTGACGCGTGGGGATTGAAATTGCGGGGGAGGGGTGCTGAATCTGAATGTGGTCTGGAAGGGTGAAGGGAAAGATGTCGTTGCTGCTGCAATTGGGATGGTAACGGTAGCTGGTGCTGGCGTTGTGGTAATCGCAGGTAGGCGGTTGTAGTGGTTGTCGTGATGCTGTGCTTGACGACGGAAGGTTCGCAGGAAGTTACGAAACGAGTTCTTCGTCTTAACCTACTCAACCGGATACTGGCTGTCGAAGTAGGTCGCCTGGGTTGGTTCTTTGGGGATCTCTGTAACCAGGCGCTCTGCGAGGGGCAGATCGGTTTCTGGATCAAGAATATCTAGAAACGAGTGATCCGTCGCGGCGAAGTTGAGGAGTTCTTGGGCCTAACGTTGTAGATCGGCATCTATAGGGAGCAGGTGTTGCGATCTGTTGTGGTTGTGGTGACGTTGTTGGTAAGGATCGTATTGATTGCGGAAATCCGGATTTCTCGGACTTCGATTGTGGGTGTGCGGTTAGGGCAGGGGTAGGGCTTGCTTCTGATTGGTCGAAAATTGAGAAAGGTGGGGTAGGCGGTCGCAACGCGTCGGCAATCCGTACGTGTTGGAAGTGTGGTTTTCGCAACGACGGCAAATCCGATCGTTAGCAGTAGTTGTAGGGGTAGAATTGAATGAATAAAAATGCTCGTTGCGACTCGTCGTCGCGATAGCCTCAAATTCGCAGGGCGGCGAGATCCGGCTACTGGATTTTGAGGTTGTGCTACCAACTGTGAGCAATGGGTGGTGTGAGTGTAGATGTATTGGTTAAGTGCAAGTCTAGGTACATTGGGGCGTGAGGTAGCCACAAGTAGTGCCCTGTGGGGCTACCCTCACATCCGGCGTCTTATTAGCTTGAGATTACATAAGTCATAACGAGTAGGAGGAAGTCAAAAGTTTAGAAGAATTGTGGTGGCTGGCCGCCGAAGAAGACGCCGAGACGGCACCGTTTTTTGTTTGTGCTAGGAACGGGCAAAGACCGGACATAAGAGCTACCTTAGCGTGCAGTCCCGGGTGCTCTGATAACGAAGCCGGGCTGAATCCGCAATGGCAACGACAAGGACTCCAAAGAAAAAAGAAGAAAAAACTTCAAACTGGGCCATCGGATCGGGCGGAGGGATTCGGTCTGCCACCCGCCCCAGTGTACCCGGCCTTACCTCACCTCGCCTTGGGGCTTACCATGCGGAAAGGGCCCCGGCGTGAAGCGGTGTATGGGGCTCCGAGCTGGACTCTGGTATCCATTTGAAGTCGGCAAGGCGACTTTTAGCGTGAACGGATCTCTGGCTCTGATTGGTTTCTCGATTTGTTAACTGGATATTTACTAAGGAGGCCTGATTCGACAGAATTCCCTGTTGATCAGCGACACTAAAAGGCGTAGTCGCCGACTTCAAATGGATGAGGTTTTTGTTATCAAATCAGCGCTTGGCTGTGGGACACAAGAAAGTGACGCTGTGACCCTGCGAGGCAACGGCGCGCGTTTGAAGAAAGAAAAGATGGACGGTCATCAGGTCAGGCCAGACGGTTGACCTTGACAGAGACAGGCCAACCATCGGCCCTGGGTGGGCGCGAACCCCGATCCGATGTGACGGGCTACGATGTGATGGGGACAGCAAGAAGCTGCGGGACCTCCACTCCCGGTGTGTTTACTGTTGGTGGCCCCTACTTTGTTTTCGTGTCATTGAATTTTTATTTTATTTTATTTTGTATTATTATTACCCAGTTATTCACAGCTGGATTTGCGCTCCCATTGCCCGGCTGGTATAACCCCGCGGGCTAACAGCTCTTGATGCTTGGCCGAGGCTGGGCAATTGACTGAATCAAGCGATTCTTGGCAATGCGAGCGCATCTCAGCTACTCAGGTCTGCCAACGTTTTGCCAATCCATCCGCAGCAGCTTGGCCGGGCGCAGTTATTAAGAACCAAGGCCGACCAGCCAGAATCGACATGATGCGGCATTTGCAGAGCTCCAGAGAGCTTCACATCAAGCTACTTGCCTCGTACAGGTGGCTGATGATTAGCCAAGCAAAGTCAGGGAATCGCCAAGCGTGTGGAAGGCCAGCTCGAGTCGGTTACGCTCTGGCCTGGCCTGGCCCGGCCTTGTAGGTACAGAGAAATAAACAACGCAAGGCGATGAGCGGGTGTGAAGAGGATAAGACGGGACTGTAGTTACTAAGGTAAGTGGGAGGTGTCGGCAGCGGGAGCAGGGCGTCCTAGGGGCGGCAAATCGGTCGGTTAGGTACTTGTAAAGATATTGTCATCAGAAATGTCGCTTACAGAGGCAGACCAGGGCCGTCACAAAGAGCACAGAGAGATGGTAAGGCGACTGCGAGGTACGGTCACAAAGAAGCCGGGGGCGTATTGGAGGTGTCCCCGAGAAATCTCCCCCGCGGCATCGGGCAAGGCGAGGGATAATGGAACCAGTACCCTTCCAAGGTTCTTTTCTTTCCTCCCGTCGGGGCCATCCCGTTGCCAATCCCATTGGAGTCAATTCCGCCCTGTGTCGGCAAGGACTTGCAGAACATTTGTTGTTCCGGTGTAAGATGATCACTAACAGCAGACAAGCTAGCAAATAACGAGAGCGACTAACGACTAACACGGGCCTTGGGCGACAAGAGCCAGGACGGTCTGACAAGGAGTCGACCAGGACGCTAGCAGGCTACCGGTGTCTATCGCCCTTAGCACCTGGGATTTTGATACTTGTCGAATGCAGCCAAATTCCATACAACCACGAGGTAGAGCGGCGCTATTCCCTTGCCTCCCCCAGGGCAAGACCCGGCGAGTTGAGTGTGAACGACTGACCTGCGAACCCACTGGAAAACTGAGGTCGGGTGTGCTGGGGCCCCATCGCGGTGCCGGCCCCATCAGAGGTAGAGGTGCCCATGTCATCCAATTGCCCAATCTCTGCAGTCTGCACCACCACACCAGGCAGGACCTGTTGGGCTCAAGCTGATCCCTCCACGACTCACGAGAGCAGCACCGGCGCGGTGGAAATTCGCGCAAGCGGCAAGAAGAAAAAGGTTGCTGCTACCTGTACCTTATTACAAGGTGCCTAGGAAGGAGGCACGGAGGGTTGGAGGTGCCGTTGGTAGGTAGTCAGGTAGGTAAGGTAAGGTAAGGTACGGACAGGAAGGCAGGAGGTACCTTGCCTGAGCAGGTAGGTACCTACCTACCCTGCCAGTGTGTTCTGTGCGCCTTGCCGTCCCTGGCGATGCCCCCACAGCGGTTGCCTTTCGCGACGACTGACCCTGCCGTCTTCCCGGCATCCTTGGAGACAAGCTTTCTGCTGCCCTTGGCGCCGCTTCCTGTGACATGACGCTACCACCGGATCCTTACCTGCCTGCCTGGTGGTCTAACCCTTTCACACTTACCGTAGGTGTACTGCGTAGTAATGAGTACCTCTTGTCCTCTGTCGTTCTCGCCATTGCGCCGCGGGAAAAGTATGTTGTCGCTGTATCCGGCCAGGTCGAATCACCCTTCGCGCCTGCCCATCCGGCCACTATTTGAGCAGCTATTTACTACCTCACCCGCCCTCACTTGACCTCTCCTTCTCCTCCCGTTCTTCTTTCCCTCCTCCAACTCACTCGACGATCAACCCTCTCAATTGACACCGACTATCTCGTGCGACGGTCAATTCCAGTTCCCCTCCTCGTCGCGTGTTGTTCGCCCAACGTGAGCATCGGATGCCAAGATTCACCCCAGTTTTTGTTTCCTTACCTTGCTGACAAAGTGCGCGCCCTGCGACGCATAGCTAGCCTCCCCCCAGTGACTGCGATCGAACCACCCCGTTCCGTTTCCCCACCTCTGTTCTGTCACTCGACGCAAAACTCTCTGAATCAAAGGTAAAATTCCCCTTCTCGCGTCCCAATTAGCACGCCAAACACTTCTCCGGACCCCTCATTCAAAATCGGCGCCGCTCCTTGCCCGTCAAGACTTGCTCCCGTGCTTTGCGCCCGGCGCGCTGGGCCAGATCATGGGAAACAAGACCGGACATTTGTCGGCCAGCCGAACGCCGGATACCCCGGTAATGACGATGGACACCGAGCTTCAAGGGTCCGCATTCTAAGACCTCGGACGGTCGTCTCCATAAAATACCTCAATGGGATAAGCTTTGCCGTCCCAATTGATGTGTTTTTTCGGCCTGATGCTACTCTAGCAGCTTGTAGTTGCATTCGCCACGAGCGAGCTCACTCATACATATTTCACACGCTCAGCACCATTCGCCCTCTTTGTTTTGGTTGCCGTTGTTTCTCTTCTTCTCACTCTCCCGCTGACAAGTTTTCTTCTCTCCAGCCGACTCTACCCTCAAATTCAGTCACAATGCCCGCCATCAACTCCATTGTCGCCCGCGATGCTGTTCACCAGCTCGCCAAGCGCGAGAACTGGGCCTCTCAGGAGGCCGGTGTCATCGTCGTCTTCTGCATCGTCTTCATCGTCGCTTGCGGTATTGCTGGCCTCATGATCTCCCGCTGCATCTCCAGGCGCAAGGCCGCAAAGGCTGCCGCTTAAACGCCGTCACTACTACACCAAGGCAGGGAGCATGAGGTGCGGTGGAGGAATTAATGGACGGCTTCAGCATGGACTATCGAAGTCGCAATGGGCGGCCCTCTAATGACAACAACCACGACTTACACATGAGGGCTGCTGCTGGAACCGGCGAAGGTCCCAGCACCATTCATCACTACACTCGCGGATCATCCACCATCCCATCTATCGACTTTGATTCTCGACCCGGTCAACGACGACAGGATTGGAGTCTCACGAGAGACGTGGTTACGAGGAAATGTCCAGAGGCTGCATATACCGGCATGAAGGGACGACTAGCCGGATAATACGTGGGGGCGGCCATATGTCAACTCAAGACGCCGCAAAGGATATTATGAGCCCTTTTTTGTTTTCTTAATGATACCTATTTCATCGTTGCGCAATCAAACTTGCTGCATTCCAAACCGCGATCGTGAAGCTGATGAGCGACGTGTGCCACTTCGCCGTCCGAGAACATGTGCGTTCCTGAGACAATGTCTCGCATTGAGAACCTTGCGCTTTTTCCTCCTTATCTCTTATCCGCAGGAGAAAAAAACGGACACAAAAGTGGCCCCATTTGTTTTGTTTTGCCAGCGCAAGCTGCAATCAAACTCGGACATCAGATGGCACGACTTTGGCATGAGCGAACCGGTTTGGCTTTGGCGAACAGACCCGTCCTCGGAATTCAGACTGAAAGACTTGGCACTGGCCACTGGGTGTCTGTTGCATGAACTGCTCGTCTGAAAAGAGTCTTTGAAAATGCATCACCCTCGACGTTCTGCGGCCACGACTTTGTTGCAGTTGGGGACTTTTGTACATGTTCCCAGACTGGGGGCGCTTTTTTGGTCCGTCTCTCCCAAGCCACTCGGCCAAGAAAGACTGCTTACATCCCAGGTCGCCGGGATTGTAAAAGATAGTGCGCCAGCGTGTCCGTCATGGAGATACTATCTCGCTTTATCCCTGGGCACTTTGAGTTATCCCGCGCCATTCTGTTAACCCGTAATTCGTCCGACGAGAACCTCAACACAGCCAGGCTGACGCCCACAGAGTGTTCTCTTACGCGTTATGTGGCCGAGGGGCTATTCCTATAAAATGCGGTTTAGGGACGTTCTCTCGCGCATAGGTTTGCTCGTCGACTTTTCACCTGTGACCATCATCATGCACTATTAAACGAAGTGGGAAACTCGCAGCACATACGATAGCCATCCATCTTTCTCGAGGACATTCAACACAGTATTAAGAAATATCAGAATCATAACACCCAAGATAGAAAGTCAACAGACTGCAAGGACGGCTCCGTATTTCTTCAATCAAAAGCAGCCCCGTCCGCCTCCATGGATCAACCCCCGAGACCCGGGAGTCCACCCCGCCGGCTGCGGGCCTGCGTGCCGTGTACAAGGGCCAAGGCCCGCTGCAACTTCCGCGAGGAGAATGCCGGGAAGCACCTCTGTGACCGGTACGTCTTTTTGCATTTCAAGCTCGGTGAGCAAGCCTGGCTAACTTTGAGCCATCGAAGATGTGATCGTCTCAAGATTGAGTGTGCGGCAAAGACGACGCGGGGCGTGAGGCGGCCGAGACAGCTTAAGCCGTTGGTGAAGTGAGTTGTCTTCTCCAGGGATGACCTGTTGGTGAACATGGGCTTACTTACAATGTCCCAGTCGTGTCGCCTCTCTCGAGCAACAAATCGCTTCTCTCAGAACAACGGACAAGCCAGACAGCATATCGGCATCGTCTTCGGGCAGCTCAACATCCAACTCAAGCTCACCACAAAGCAGCGTAAAAGGCCGAGGAGACCATGATACCACCGGCAGACAACACACCTCGGACGCCGGCCATCTCTATCCAGCCGCTCAGGAAGGCTTACATGACCCGAACGCGCCTCCGTTCGGCTTCACATGGGCTCAAGCGAGCTTCATCCTCAACGACTTCCGTGACAAGTTCACGCCAAACTTCCCGTTCGTCATCATAGACCGCCAGACGAGCCCGCAAGACCTCCTCCGGGAGAAGCCGTTTCTCTTCCGCGCCGTCATGCTGGCAGCCGCGCCGCTCCCGCGCCCCGGCATCGCCAACATACGGAGCGAGGTGCTGGCCTACCTCGGCCATCGCATGCTGCTCGAGAACGAAGAGACGCTGGACCTTTTGCAGGGGATTCTAGTCATCGTGATGTGGTAAGTAAACCCCTCCTCCTCCTCTGTTGTACATCCCAAGAAACCAACAAACGACAAAAAGGGCCGACATCAAATACTTTTACGACAAGCAAATCACCCGCCTGGTCTACCTGGCCCTCGGCTACGCCCACAGCATCGGCATCACCCGCATCCCTCTCTCCGTCCTGTCATCCACAGGGACCGCCGCCAGCACGGCGCAGCCGGACGACTGCTTCGCCTCCAGGATGGCCGCCTCCATGATCCAGCACCACACCCCCGAGGAGCAGCGCGCCTTCCTCGGGCTCTTCTACGTCGTGACCGTCAACTCGAACCAGTTCGCCCGCCGCAACCCGCTGCTGCAGCAGAACGGCGGTGGCGGCGGCGGCGGCCTGTACGTGGACATCTGCTGCGAGCAGCTCGCGAGTTCGGGCTCGCCCGAGGACGCGCTGGGCGTGAGGATGGTGCGCTTCATGCAGATCTCCGGGCGCATCGCCGAGGTGTTTGGGTCGTTTGCGAACCGCGTCACGGGGGAGTCGTACGCGACGCTGTTCGAGGCGCAGGCCGTCGCCATCAGGAGGGAGGTGGACCGCGTCGCGGACGAGATTGACCCCCGAGACCCCTACTTTGGTAAGTTCTTGATTTGGTTTTGTGCTGCTACGCAACGCTGACAGATTCCCTTGCTAGCATACCTGTGGATGCAGTACAACTGCGTCCTCGTGCAGCTGTACGAGCCGGCAATCAAGACCGCGACGTCGACCCCGCTGCACCGCACTACCTGTCTCCTGGACTGTCTGGCGGCCGCGAGGGCGTACTACGAGGCCCTCACGACGCTGCCCGCGGAGCAGTTCCTCTACCGCACATCGGCCAGCATCAGCCACGCGCAGACGGTGGTGACGGTCACGACGAGACTGCTGGTGCTCGAGGTAGAAGGGTGGGATCTGGAATCTGCCAGGGCATCGCTTGACTTTCTCGACGTGACGGAGCGGATGGCCGGCTTGTTCCGGAGGACAGTGGACGCAGGTCGGGAGAGGATGGAGCAATTCTCTGTAGAGACTGGCGCGGCTTACACATGGATAGAAGATGAGAACACGGAAAGCAGAGGGGGGATGTGCGAGGAGCTGGTCGAGAAGATGGGATGGATCATTGACTGGTACAGGTCCAAGCTTGAGGTTGAGGAGGGAAAGATGGCATCAGACAAAGTCAACAGGGAGTTGCTGGAAGAGATTGCGCGAATATGGCAATGGTCTCCGAATGCCCAGAGCTTGCCGTTTTTCGGTGGTTTGTTGAATCCTCTCGATGTTAGTTATGAGGGTATTTGAGAGGCCCCGTCTGATCTAAGCAGTAATAGTACAATAGGCAAATGTTGACCCATATATGTATGTCCTTTCTCGCTCAAACCGAACGCCCAAGAAAACGATCCTCTTCGCCAGGTCCCATTCTATCGTAGCAAGCCTTCATCTCCGGTCCTGTCTCTTCGGTGCTGAGTCTGCATCATCTGCATCCATGATGCTCGAATTACATACCACTGGATCAGTACCGACACTCCGATGTGGTGCCTCCATCAAACCACATCCCACGCGATCATTAGCGGTAATATGGCAAGCAAGAAGATGCAGGCCACTAGTGCAGGTACAACCGGTGGCACGGACTCTGCTACGTCTTCAGCTAGCACGAGCAGGTCCGCGAGAGGCACGATGATGATCCTTCGAATCAGAGCGAGAGGACTCCGGCCAGTCCGGCAGCAACGGCAGCGGGTCCAGAAGCTGTGCTGGTACGTAACGTCATCGTGCTTTGGAGCTGAGAGGGCAGCGCGGACGTCGGCGCTGAGGTCTGGAAGTGAGCGCGATGAAAGGCGGGTATCTGGGCAGTGGGTTAGTTAAATCTATCCGTGATGAAGGGCAACCGGATGAAAAGATGAGAACGAGATGGCACGGAGAACGTGGAGAGGGTGGAGGAGAAGAGTGGATGACCGGGTCCGAGATGGGGGCATTGAGTGGGTAAGCTAGATGAGATAGAGCGGACTTACTGACGGGTGTCCGAGGCGGACGCGGTGACCGGGCGCCGGAGACCGGGAGGGGTGACCGGCTGCCGTCGGGTGGGATCTCTTGAGTCCGGCCCTTGGTCCTTGCGTAATAAGCTGGAGGAGTCAGTCAGAACAAGTGTCGGGATCCCTGGGGAAGGAAGAGCAGTGTTGGTGAGGATGAGTATGAACGTACGCATTGTGAATGTGAAGTGTTTGTCGTGACTACACCTCGACGTGAGCCTGTACGTCTATGGCGGGTTTCCGTAGTAACTTGGACCGTTCGTGCTCGTACTGGGCAAATCACCTGTGGGGTGTTCTCAAATTCGAGGGCCAGCCGAGAGTGGGCGCATGTGGTGATTCGATAGCCGATATTCTTTGCATTCCTTAATAATGTGGTTGAAGGGAGGGTTTGCCGAGAAGCGATGCGTATGTTTTCCCCTCTTTCTCTCTCTGCCGTTTGACGGAAGGGAGCCAGCAATGGAATGCGGCTTGCGCGGGTGTTTGTATGACAGAGCAGGTGACAGAAATCGAACAAACCCCGTCTCCGGCCTCCCGTGATCAAGCTGGGCTGGCGGTTTGGGGGGCCTATTGATTGGAGGGTAGCGAGATTGGATGCCAATGCCAATGCCGACCGCCGATGCGAAGTGCCAAGACACGCAAGGCACAATTGTTGACAGATTCGAGTGTGGAGATGTTGGAGCGGAAGTGTTGGAAGTGAAGGGCGAGCGGTGCAACAAGAACCAGATGAGGGTGATCGACAGTCAGAGCCACCCTCTCGTCTCGTCAGTCGTCTTGGGTGATGTACCTCGCTCTGTGTAGGCAAGGTAGGTGAAAAAGACGTAGCTGGGCGATGAGGCGGGAGCGAGGCTTAATGCCAAGAAATCAAAAAAAGAAGAAGTCTGGCAAGAAGTGAGTGACCTCAGTGCGGACGAGACTGCAAAAGGTTGTTGCTGAAAACGTGAAGGGGGGATGGTTGGATGGGTCGGCCGTGTTGTGTGAGTGACTTGTTCTTGGGAAGTCGAGTCGCAGCGGTATGTGCTTCCCGCAATTTTGAGTTTGACCCCAAGGATCCAGTTAGCTTGGCGGGGAGATGAATTGCGGGATGCTGTGGCTTGTCCCCCAGGCGCTGCACTACGCCAATGCAAGCCTAGAGTGAGACAAAAAATGCAGAGGTATGCAGCGCAGCAGCAGTAGTGTGTAAGTACTTTGACGGGCTAGGCGCGAGGTTGACGATGATGATCTAAGCCTACCAAAAAGGGGGGGTCATCTGGAGACATGGCAGTTGACCTACAAATACACCACGGTATGTATCGAGGCCAGCACATCTCGGGAACGGGGCGAAAGGGTGGGTGGGTGGATGCGGCTTTCGAGCCAGTTGGCCACATGGCTGGCCAGGTTGGGTGAATGATCGAGTTGGAGATTGCACTGCCTCACTCCTCGAACAGCTTTTCTCCTAGGTATCACCTTGTTGGAGAGCGGCGATTCATGCCGCCCTCGTTGTCTTCATGCAAAACCTCGACTGCACAGGCCCGGCCAACGGACGACGTCCCAAGAATAAATACCAAACGCCAAGAAAAGGAGGCGACGGTTGAATTACTGAGACTATGAGCACATATCATCATCTTCCCCTTCAAGCAATGCGGGTGGTGTGGTTGCTCCCGCACTACGTAAACCAACTGGTATCTTTTGAAACTCCAAACAACAATACCAACGTCCGAGCCGCGCTGTCTATGTCTTATCAAAATACCATATCTCTCCTAGCCTTCTATGCGAAAAGGGCAGATAGCCATTAAAACCACGTGCGGCTTGTGCTGAGCCTCTTGTAACTGCTCCGCTCCCTAGCGCGCTGGTACTCCGTGTCGGCCGAGGCGTCTTGCTTCTTACGCCAAGTCTGCCCGTTGGCTTCTTCGAAGAAGTAGTGGTTTGGGCCTTTGGCGTAAGCCACTTTCCAGGGTACCACGAAGTCGGCCTTGATGGGACCACCGCCGCAGCTGCCCTTGAGCTGCTCGCTCGGCGGCGAGTTGACAGCCAGCGCGAAGAGATTCTGTGGTTCTGTGTAGTCGGTGACCAGACCCGAGCGTGAGAGAAAGTAGCCCAGACAGAAGATGTTGATGAGCAAAACAAGGACCAGAGCCAGGTAGAAGACGTTTTGCCATTCGTACTCGTGTGAAGAGGTGTACTCCTGCGTGCGGATCGTGGCGTTAAACGTAGCGAGAGCACCTGGTTCTCCAAGCTGCATCGTTTCATAGTCCCAGTAATGGATGAAGGGCGTCCCTATACTGCCGATGACCAAAGTCGATGAGGCAAAGACGGCGAGCGCTTCGGCCATGGAGGGAAGCAGCGGGTTGAGCTTGCCCTGTTCTAGAATGAATTGCGTGAGTGTCCGGGCGTTGGAGGCGTTATTGTTCACCGTTCCGCCGTTGATATCCATCGAGAGTCGCCATTGGTCTGCGATATTCTGGTAAAGTAAGTAATCAACCCAGAAAACCACGCCGTTGAGCATTACACACCTTCCAATCGCCATCAGGCTTTTCAGGTGTGACCTCAGGCACGGAACGGTCGTATCTGTCTGGGTCATCGGGATCTTCGCAGTGAGCCTGCATATGTGAACCAGCGGTGCCAGAGATGTTGAAATGAGTCGAGCAGTTAGGCGTGACCCAGGAACGCATCTCACAAAGCGTGTAATTAGTGATGGAGGCCGATTTGGCCAGGAGGTAAATGGCATCTCCTTGATACACCTAGTGCAAGTCAGCAAACGCTCTTACTCAAATTGGCAGCTCATCCGTACTGTAGTGTTGGTAATCATGTTGAAATCTGCAGGATACTGTTCGACCTGTCAGCATTAAACTTTCGGATCAACAGCATAGACACGTACAAGCTGGAACACGGGCGGCCGACGTCCGTATGTTGGCCCCCAGCGGAAAATGTCATCGACTGCTGTTCGGTTGAGCCACTCATCTTCCTCGGGATGAGGCACCTCTCCCTCCCAACCAGCCCAACCGGTAGTCTGGTTGCCAACCCCGGTTGCATTTGTTTGGCTATTCTCCCACTTCGTATAGATAAGAGGAGCCAGGTCCTCCTCGTTCATATTGACGCACATCACATTGATGGCAGGGGAGACAACGCTCGCTCTAATAGCATACTCTCCAACACCTGAAAGATCGTTCGGTTGGAGGATCTTATTCACGGGGTTTGTTGCGGCATCATACACACCTGAGCGAGTTTTCTTAGCAAAGCCTTGAATACCTCAGACTTTTGCAGTACTTACCGGGATGGGGCATTGCAAGGGTTACATTGTGAATGATCCTCCCCTTCTCCTCGTACTGGCGAGTTACATTGCTGTATTCCGTTTTGACCCAGGTTGTAGTCAAGGTCGTGTTGTCGTACAACAGCGTGGTTCCCACAGGCCGGTGAGACATGTCCAAAGAGGCGCCCGTACCATTATGGTTAATTTCGTCCCACACTGTCAAGAAAGATACCAAGTTCCGATAGGCTACTTGTGGGTTAGCATCGAGTCTTCCTCCGGAAGGGATAAGCTCACATTGCCCGGCATACTGAATGTCCAAGCACGATCTGGCTGCAAACTCCGGTCCATTTGGATCTTCCTTGCGCAGGGGTGTCGGGCAGCTATCCTGCGTAGCAAAAGTGTTTGCGTAAGAAGACAGAACATAACCATTCAACGCCTTGCTCTCCCAGCCGCCGTATTTCAGCTTGGGTGAAACCATGACGTCAGACGCGGTGGTGTAGAACGTCGACGCGATGGTCGCGATAAGGGAGATTGCTCCGAGGAATGTGACTGCGGCGTAGGGAAGGGTTTCCCAATGCGTCAACATGAACCCAGGTTGCTACGTCACGTTAGACGTGGCAGGAGAATACAGATGGCTGAGGTACTCACAATGACCCAGTTTCTCATCGTCATCTCGGCCAAGGTCATCCCCTTGGACGACTTGACGAATGACCGACGTGTCAAAACCTGACCAATGAAGGCCACGAAGACCGTCACGAAAGATATTTCAATCGTCTTCGCGAACATTGCGCAGACCATGGTGGCCGTCGAAGGGGCGATGCCGCCGCTCGATGAGATTGTCGGTCCCCATCGTGGTTGCACCACGGCAACGACAAACCATAGACAGCTGAGGCCTGTTGAGTAAATTGAAAGCGCTATAATCGAAATGGAGAGCCAATTCGCTCTTCTTCTGTGAACATCCTTCCGTGAGTCGCAATAATGTGGCACATGGCCTGCATATCGTGTTAGTGGCTGTGAAAGTTGAGTTTAGGAGCCCATATTAGCCTTACTGTATCTCTTGTAAAAGGTCTCATCGTCGTCATGAGAATCGTGATTTTCTGCGTCGTGGTCGTTGCGCATTTGCGCGCTGTTGCCCCTGTCCGATCCCACCGATGTCGCATCTTGTCGATGTCCTTCTTTGCTTGGGTTTACGCGCCCCAAATCAATTTCATCCCGAGATGACGGACCCCACGAACCGTCATCTCTCGGCGGATCGTCCCAAGGCATCGTCAACTTTCCCATGCGTGTAGCTGTTCTCAAAGAGTTTGGCGACGTGACTGGCGTTTCCTCCAGAGGCGAGACGAGGTCCTGATTTGGGTTCTGAGCAAGTGAAGCAGGTCCAGACTCTGCTCGAGGCGATGTAATTCCAGACTCTGGCGAGCCGGAAAATCCGTTGTTGAAACGAGGCGTAGCGGGTGAGCTGCTTTTAGAGCCAACAGGGACGCGTGTAAAAGACACACGTTTTGCGATCCCCTGTATTGAAATACCGAGAGGGTCGCTTTCTTGACTGTAGGAGGTGTCGGGTCGAGCCACGTGCTGGTTTTCAGTAACACCATCTAAAGGTGAAAGGTCAATGGAGCCAGAGGGCATTGGCCGATAGCAATCTCGGCGGAAGATGGGAGACGAAAGGAGACCTCCAGGTGGCGAGGGTCTGTCGTCGCGACTTGTTTGTGAGTTGAAAAGATGGCTTTCCTCGACCTCAGGGACTGGGTGCAGGGAGTAAGGGATGCGACTGTGATCACTTTCGGCCATGGCGGGCTTGAATGAAACTCCGGCTTGTGTGCTGGGCCAAACTGATTATCTAACAAGACATTACTTTAGGCGTAAAAGGATAGCTGCAGGGCCGGCCGGATGTCAGAATCCTGCTTGGACCTTTTGGCGAGGGATGAACTCCCGGGCTGTTGTGCTTGCGAGCTGGCAAACGAGGGGAAACAGGTGGCGCCAAACGGACGGGTTGGAATGTTCGTGGAGGTAAGGGGTGACGATCGTCGGGGAACGCGCGGACACTAGTCTGCGATGAAGCCGTAGTGAGTGCCTCGCGTTGCGTGATCTCGGCGCCGGTGGTACAGATGCGACGGGAAGGGACAAAGCAGTAGCTCTATATGATACTCGGGAGGGCGCATACGTCTGAGATTCAACCAGGTTTTCGTCTGTTTGTCGTCGTCTGGTTGGCCCTTTGCGGTTTACGGGTTCGGAAACAAGGCACAGTTTCGCCCCAGGGAAGAAAGACAATCAGAGTATTAGGGAGAAAACTTGGCACGACGAGTGAAACGGCTGGGAGAAAATGCTGCCATGATAGAGGGTTCGTGGGACCAAGGTTGTAGAAAGAAGAGGAGTGGTATAAGAGCCAGGAAGCGAGAAACAGCCATGACAAGAGCATCGGCTAGCAGGGGCACGATGGAGGTTCTTCAGAGTTGATCCTTCGGGGCGGAGAACTGATCAAACTGATCTAGTCGCCGGCGTCAACGCCGCAGCTGCGGGCTCGGCTGCCCATCGGCGACGGAAGACTTCTTTCATCGCATGCGGCTGGCCCCCACCCATCATGTTGGGGATCACTTCCTCATCCTGCCTAGAAACCTGCAGATGAGCAACCCTTCAGAGTGACTTAATCTGCGTGGGATTAATGGGGATCCTGGCCTCGAGCCTAGAATCTTAGAGATCGGTGCTGTGGTGCTGGTGCTGGTGCTGATGTTGGTGCAAAGTAGGGATCTAGCAACAGGGCGCTGCGGGCGGCGTAGTTGAGAGCGAGAAGGGGTTGGTTTCCTCAAGCAATCATGGATCCTTGTCAGCGACGACGCAGGGAGAGGAGGCAGTGGAGTGATATCTGAAGACGGGCTTCCATTACTGTTGGTTGCTAAAGCACACAGCCACCGAGCCATGTGCGTGTTGGAGCAACAAATTGCACAATACTACCAAGCAAGACCCGAGACTCTGGCACCTGAACTTGACCGGGGTACGCTTCATGTACGCGAGCCTTGGTTCTGATCAATTCAAACGTGCCCTGGGCTGCATGCCCGCTCACCGCGACATGTCTGGCAGTTGCTGTATGCGTGTTGGGAGGTCATGCAGCCAACTCTCGCAAAGAAAGGAATTGCTAGGCGAATTGAGGCTGTGTATGTAGCTGGTCAACGAAATCGACACATCAAGTCACCCGCAGCGCAGGCAGCTCTTTAAACGTTTCTAAATTTGTCCGTGCTAGCCTTGGATGCGGGACTAATCAATCCTCATCATCATCCCAACGTTAAGCTTACCTTAGCTTCCGCGTAGAACCCTCCGTTTCGAGGCTGTTCGTCCGATCCTGTCATCAGACTCGGACTGCCGCTGTCATCAGATTTCGTCCAACGTTTGTCCGTCATCATGCGCTTCCTTTGGCCAGCCCCTGGCGCAAGCAATTGTGACAAGAAAATCAGCCATTTTCACATTACCTAATGTCATCTATCAAACCTTGCCCGCCCCAGGCATGTGCTCTTCGCCTCTTCGCCAGTCGCCGCCAGTCTGATTTGCCGGGCATCTGAAAAGTTCCGCCCATCGCATCATAAACAAAGAATCATAACCCCAAAATAGTTCGCCTCCTCGTTCTTATGCTCGTACTGTGCCTGCTCTCCTTGATCCTTGGCTGGCAATTCCCGACTTCTTTTGCGAGTTTCCACCAGGTCTTGCCAAGGTGTACTTGGCGAAAGCCCGAGCCAGGGCCTTCTTGCAGCTAATCTTTTGACTGCCAACAAAACTATCCACCGTCACGGCGATTGCCCTGTCAATGTCCTGCGCTGAGCAGTACTCTGACAGTCTCATTCTGCAAAAAGCTTCGCTGATGCGGATGATGGCTTCGAGATGGCGCACCTGATCAACAATTAGCAGAGATTCTGGTCGCCTATCGTGGGATACTTACTGTAATTGGGTACGCGCCAGTAGCAAGAGACTCTCTTCTCATGTCGGCAAATAAACGTGCGACCTTGTCCTCGTCCATGTGGTACAACTTGGGGCTGACACGCTCGCGTGCGTACAAGATGTACTTGCGGAGAAGTTCCTGAGGGATTTCGCCTTCCTTCTTCTGCGTCTCAGCTTGCGTGTCCTGCTTCTCGGATTCCTGCTCAACATCCATCGAGTCCGCGGCGGGTTGCGAGGATGCAGGGTGGCTGCGGCTGTGAGATCCGACAATGAAACGAGCGAGACGTTCGTCCTCCGAAGGCTCCACAGTGTCCCGAACCACACACAGAATGTCAAAACGAGAAAGAATTGGCTCAGTAAGCTCGACGTTGGCCGAGAAAGGGATGGTTGAGTTGTATCGCCCACCAATGGGGTTAGCTGCGGCAATGATGCCACACCGAGCTTGCAGAGTTGTGACAATACCGGCCTTTGAGATGGAGATGGTCTGTTGCTCCATGGCCTCGTGGATTGACGTACGGTCTTGGTCGTTCATCTTGTCAAACTCATCAATCAAGCAGGTGCCCTTGTCTGCCAATACAAGAGCACCGCCCTCAAGGGTCCACTCGGAAGTGATGGGATCCCGACGAACACTGGCTGTCAGACCGACGGCACTGGCTCCTTGGCCAGTCGCGAAAACTGCGCGATGTGCCGTCTTCTCAACATACTTGAGAACCTGGGACTTTGCGGTACCAGGGTCACCAAGAAGCAGAACGTTGATGTCGCCACGGACTTGATGGGCACCCCTTCCAACCTTAGCAACACCGCCAAACAGGGACAAGGCTACCGCTGTCTTGATATCTGTGTGACCGTATATGCTAGGGGCGATAGAGTTGATGATCTTATCGATGATAGCGGGGTCGCGAGAAAGCTTGCGAATTTCCTGCTCGTCTTCTTCCGTCATGCGGAACCCAGCCAGCTGATCGTGAGATTTGACGACGTTATTTGCTTCCAAAATGGTGGCAAACACAGGGAATCCGTTGCGGTTGTTCAGCTGGGCATCGTAGTTGTTTTGGTAAATCCCGGTGACCTCAATCTCCTCGCCAGGCTTGGCCTTGTCAATGAGATCCCATAGCAGGATGACCTCTCTATGACGAGGCAGACGGCCAGCTGGAACGGTGCCAGGAGACTCTTGGAGAGTGAGCTTCTGGTAGTTGCGGTAGACCGTCTTCTCCGAGTTGAGCGTGAAAGGACCGCGGGATTGGCAAGATTGGCAATATGAGATCTTGACCTCAACATTCGACTCCTGCTGGAATGGCCCCAGAGTAATACCGCACTTGGTACAATCGAACTTGATATACTTGAGCTGGGGGAAGACACCAGTTCGCTTGGTGACAACACCGCTGACCCTCACCAGGCAGTTCAAGTGAGATTGACGGAGCTGTCTCAGAGTGTAGTGAACAGGCAGGTCGAAGATGCGCACATGAATTTCCGAGTGGATGCGCTCGTAGTCGGGGTAATGCAGGAGAACGACATCCATGGCGACCTCGTCGAAGAGCTTCAGGACTTCTGCAGGAGCATTGGCCAAGTAGTAGGCCAGAAGTGCTTGAGAGGAGGAGAGATGGTCGTAAGAGACCTCAAGGGACTCGGCATTGACCTCACCGAGGGTGCGAATGCGGTTTCCGTAGACCGAAGAGCCGTGTTCGTCGGTATATTCCGTCAAGAAAGCCTTGAATTCTCTCTTGATGGTCCTTTGGACGTTCGGTTGTGAAACCCATTCGGTCAGACTAGCAGCCTTCGCATCTTGCAAAGCCTCGAGAGAAAGCTCCTCCTCCAGAATGTCGGCGTCCATATCCTCATCAGGGTCTTCGTCGTAGTGGTGACGGCGACGGCGGGGCTGGGCCGAGAGATCAATGTCACCTTCATCGTCTTCACCGGGAAGGAACGCGGCGGGGATGCGTTGGCGGCGGGCAACTTCTCTGTCTCTGCGGTTGAGCTGAGATTCGAGTCGTCTCCTTGCACCCAAATCCATGTCATCAAAGTCGCCGTCGTCGTCGATGTCGAGACCCTCGTAACGATCGTCTTCTTTGGCCCTGTAATCGCGCTCGAAACCCTCGCGGAAAAGGTCTACGTCGTCTTCGGCCATCTCGTCCATGTCGTCGAGGTCATCGAGGATCTCGGGGTCGTCCTCGATGTCCTCGTCATCGTCACCGCCATGAGCAACGAAGGGGGCAGGAGGAGATGAGGCCAAGGGGCTGGAGGGCGCTGCGATTGAGGATGTGCCATCGTCACCGTTTCCACGACCACGCTTGCGACTCGCCCGCTCTGGGACTCCTCTGTTGGCGGAGCTGTAGTTGCTTCGGAGGGGGGAACTGGATGTTGTGAGCCATGATTTTCTTCTTCCCCATGGCAACAGTGGAGCAACCACTCCCGGGGAGGCAACGGTGTCATAAAAAGCTCACCTCATATTTGCGATGTCACAGAACGCATTCGAATGTGCTGTTCTTCGCTGTAAAATGCACAAAAAAGCGTTGCGACAAGAGGAAACTGGGCAACGGTGAAGGAGAGGGGGGATTGCAGAGATGGGGAAGAGGGGGCAGGAACACTTGGAGTGCGAAATTAGTTTGGACCCAGTCGCGCCCCTGGAAGAAACGCGATCAGGGGCGAGCGCGTAAAGTGGCACCTTTCCTCATTTAGACGACGCGTAAATGGGTTGACAGTGCGGGCAGCTGCAAGGGATTGTCGCAGCGGACACCAGACGCTGAGCTCAGGTCCCGGGGTACGTATCTGACGTACCTACATAGTGCCTATCTTGCAGTTACAGGTTACCTCAGACCAACGCGACTTGCCTTACTTCCGTCTTGACAACACCACACTCCGAACTATAT